TGCTTACAGGGAGCACCAACAGTTGATACGCAAATAGCAACTTCTACACAATCGTCCAGCCAATCAGAAAATTTCGATCGAAATTTAGCAATGGAATGCCGAACACTCTTCAGTTTTATATCAACTGATTTTATAAAATTTTCAATTTTACATATATCAGTTTTATCCACTTTATTTTTATGTGCAGTTTCAATATATTTCAATAAGAAGTTGACTTTATCTTGAAAAGGAGCTGAAGAGTGTTCAAATAAAATGGAGCACAAATCATTTTTTTTAGTACGATCGCCATGGTTAGAAAATTACAAATAATTACAAACAGATATAAACCTGTCTTATATATTAATTACTTAAATATATATATATATATATTAAATTATTTTTTAAAGGGTTATGATATTCTACCTAATATGTCTAACGTTTCCTTATGTAATGAATTTTTCCTCAATAGGTCACTTTAATAACCTATAGGGGTAAAAATCATTACAGTTTAAAAAATAATACCTAAACATTTTTTTAATATATGTAACAAATTTAAGAGTTAACCTTATGGATGAAAATAATAGTGCTAGGTAAATTTTCTAAAAGATGTTGAGTTTTCCCTAATTAATTTGTCACTTAAAAAAATTAGGTAGGCATGTTATATATCAATGGAAAGGTAATTTTGTATATTTTTCAAAACTGTATATAATTTTTGAAAATTAAAAAATTCGCGGAATACGTTTTTTAAAAAAATTAAAAAATGTTTTTTATTCAGTTTTTGCGAAGATACAAATTTTTCAAATTGCAATAAAAATTTTATTTATGAATATTTTTTGATACAATTTTACAGTTAGGTAGATTTTTTTACTCAAAATCCAAAATTAAATAAAAATTTCGAATTTTCTTATTAGAAATACCGGAATTATCAAAAAAGTTTTAAAAAATCCCAAAAATGGGATTTTTTGGTTTTTTGCCTATTATATCCATACCAGGGGCGGGGTTAGCGAACCCGTTACAAAATGATTAAGAACATATTGGGTCATATAAAACAGGTCACTATAATTTGATATCGACTATGCGATTTGAGAATTTTTGCTCAAAATTGAATTTTCCATAAAAAATAGGGTTTTTTTTTTGGATGGACCTAGTCCCCTCGGTATCAAAAATTTTTAGGTTTTGTTTCTTTTATCGTATTTTATGTAAAGTCAGCTTTCCAAAAAGTATAAATTCTATATACATCTTCTTAGAAACTTTTTAGATAACTTAAAAAGAAAAAGATACTTTTTTCCCAAAAGAATGGCAAAAAATCGCCTTTTTTTAATTTTTTAAATTAAAATGCCTATAACTTTGGACTCAGTCAAATTCTTTCACTGCTTGATATATAAACTTGTTGTTAAGCAAATACAAAAAAAATGGCGAAATATTTGGACCCGCTATTATCAAAAAACTAAAGTAAGGACGGTAAAAATTTTAAAATTTTAATTTTCAAATGCGAATATCTCCTAAACTATAAGAGATAATTTACTGCTACATCTTTTATAGTGTTCGATGAGGAGATTCTATATACGAATTTTTTTTAAATCGGAACTCAAATGAAGAAATAGGATCGTTTTAAAAATTTAACATAGCCGATGTGTCCTAATTTGAGGACCCCCCGCCGGGCCCCTGGTTGACTTATACTCGAAAACACCTCCTCTTTGTGCATACCAAATTTCATTAAAATCGGATTAACCGTTTAGAAGTTTCCCTCTTTTTTTTTTCCTATACCACTGTGTATCGGTATGCAAAATTTCAGGTAAATCGGTTTAGTAGTTTTTGCATATTGTGATTGCAAAATTCGTGTAATGGTAGTTTAAAAAAAAAAAAATATATATATATATATATATATATATATATATATATATATATATATCTGAAATCTTTTTTGTGTTAGCTTTAGTCATCCAAAGACTTATGCCCGAATTCATAAAAAAGAAAAGAAAACAATTTTTAAAATTTTGTATGAAAGCTACTACTTAACATGGATCTCATACTTTAAGCCTTTTTGTTTCATGATTTTATTATTACAATAAGCCATAGAAAAGGTATACATAGAACTGAAACTGAGTATGACAAAACCTAAGTCTGCTGTCAAAAACCTAAGTCGTGAGAATGTATTAGTTGAAAAACATAACTTTTAGCAGTGTTTATTGCAGCAGCAGGGGCTATTTTGCCAAAGGAATTGTGCTAATGCTAAAATTAACGCTTGATATGAACGAAATGCAGTCGAAATGCAGTCAAAATACACCCTACACCACACTAATGGGAACGGTATTTTGTTTATGTCTTAAAGTTTGTAACACCTGCGTCGATGTAATGATGTAATCCGACCATAAATTAGCCTATTGAACGTTTTTGTAAGCGGTACATGCTATACAAGAATAGGGTATTTATAAAATTCGACTCAACAAATTTTATATATACGAAATTTTGACTATATATTATTATAATGAGTAGTACATTCATTAATTAAGCAAACATCAATCTCTTGAATATAACTTCTACATTAAAAAATACTAAATAACTTATTGCTACTTACTCGCAATGTGGTAGGGTATGATGTATTCGGATACATTTTGTACTTTCATATTTTTGTTATTTTATGTAAACAAAAATAAAAATACTCATACAATTGTATTAAATTCACACAGAACCTGTACATGTGAGAGAGTAATATTTCTTATTCTCAGTCTCAGTTCTATTTATTTTTCTATGCAATAAGCTTTTAAAGCATTTGAATTACAATAAATAATAATAATAATAATAATAATAATAATAATAATAATAATAATAATAATAATAATAATAATAATAATAATAATAATAATAATAATAATAATAATAATAATAATAATAATAATAATAATAATAATAATAATAATAATAATAATAATAATAATAATAATAATAATAATAATAATAATAATAATAATAATAATAATAATACTAATAATAATAATAAATAAGAAATTATAGACCGGCGAGATCGTCTATTGTCTCAGTGACGAAGCCTATTGAAAATGGTTATGATCGGTCCATTATTTCACCTAGCCCCCTACAACTAAACCCCTGAAAAGGGCTTGTAAGCCTTGTAATCAAAGGTCGCCATTTTCAAGATAATTCAATGAAATTTTTCACATGATCTTCTATTGTACTAGAAACGAGTCCTATTGAAAATGGGTAACATCGGTTCAATATTTGATCTAGCCCCCATACAACTGAACCCCCCGAAAAGGGCTTCTGAGCTCATAATTATGTTAAATATACCTGTATATCGATAAAAAGCGGCACAACTAAGTTTTATACAAGCATTGAAAACTACTATAGCACTAACACGGATGTAGACCGAGATAAATTTTGTTCAATCAATCTCTGCCAACAATTTCTATCCAAATTGTGATCATAACGTAACAGCTTAAAGTTTAAAACAATATAATTTGATATAATCTGAGTGAATGAAAAGTGACCCCGTTCGGAAGAAACTGTTTCGGCTGTTTAATACTTACTTGATGAGTCGATTTCGTTTAGTGTTTCAAGTCACTTTTTTATAACATAAAAGTTCGTAAAAGTAGTAAATTTCCAGTTTTGCCATAACAAAAGGGAAACTGGAAATTATTCTAATTCTCTTTTATGTTATAAAAGCGACTTTATAATACATTTTCTTTATTTCTCCTTATTATTTCATTATGAATAATTTAAACATTGTTTTATACTCACTAATCACTTACTTATGTTTATTATATATTAAACTTATGTTTCTTATATATTAAATTTTAAATTAACACAATTTATTACAAACTCAAAATTTCACAATTTATCACACAACTGATCACGATGAAATAAATATATTTACTGAAATCTTAATGTTGTTGTTGCTGTTTTAACGAGGTTGAAACAACAAGAAACCAAAGTTATTTATTGATACAAATAAATAACTTTGGATGATAAATGCAGGATGCACTTACTTGATTATTCCGTAAGTATCAATAAAAGACAGTAGACGTTCGGGAAACGTTATAAATCTTTATTGGTTTTATATTGGTGGCTGTCTTGTCTTCCGCTGCTTACGCTGCAGAAAATTATTCACAAACTGTAATGGCGCTTAGGTCAGTTGACAGCACGTCGGAATGACACCTGTCAACCTACCTAAGCGTCATTCACAGTGATGTGAATAATAACAGGCGTAGCGAGCCAGAGGGGTCACACTTACAACAGGGGCTCAATGTCCAAGTCGAGAAACTCATCGTCCTCTTAAGCTTCAGATGAATTGTCGCGAGCCTCAACATGTCGCCCCCTTTGCACGGGTGCAAGAATTGATTCACTGAGGCGGTTTATAGTTTCTACCATTTGCCGCAACAGCTGATGTGTCGTAGCTTGCCCTGCTGCTTGCTGCTCCAACTGCCGCTGCACCAGCGTAGGTCTTCTACGTGAGCGTCTGCGTCGACTACTAACAACCTGAAGGGAACCAGACTCTCCACTAGCGCTATGTTGATGGTGGTGTCTGTCACCTGAGACAGGGCGAGCTGAATGTTGCAGCCTCTGTGGTTGTTGAGGAGGTGTCACTCGATTTGGGATACGTCGATCCCGGGAAGGTATTTGCAGGCGATCTTGAACGGAGCGCCTTTGAGGAGGAACAACCGCTTCAAAATCCGTATGTCCTGTGTGGAGAAGAGTGTGGTGCATCTCGCCACATCGGCGCATGAAGAGGTGGTAGTACAATCCCTTACCAGGTGAGAACGGGATAAGCAGTTTAGGCAATACCTGTGAGCCCTCACGGTGTAAATGCGCTGCCTCACCGAAAAACCATAAAATAATTTGCAGTTACGCAAATGATGCTTCTGGAAGCAGATACGACATAAATCTAGTCGTTGAGTTGGCTCCATTTCTATCTGAAAAGACAACAACAACAACAAAAAAATTAGTGTAGATAATACAGCTTCGAACGATTACTGTATAATAGGTAAAAATGAATACGATATAGGCTACTTATCCGAAATTGGCAACAAACAAAGTTTAACGATTGGCCGAGTAACTAAACCATATTGAGTTCGTATGTCTGCAACTCGCACACGTTTATCAGATCCGTAATAAACGCTATTAATACGACCCAATCGCCAATCGCTGGGAGGAAGAATTTCGTCCTTTATGATTACGAAATCGCCTATAACCAACTCCTTCTTCGGGTAACGCCATTTGTATCGTTTATGCAGCTCTTGAAGGTATTCTGTTTTCCATCTCTGAGAAAACCGATGATGAAGAGCCTTTAGTTTTTCCCATCGATTAAGCAAGGACATATTCAAATCGTCTATTGGCATTTCTGGTGGAACCATTATTGGTGAACCTCGTAAAAAATGTCCTGGCGTTAGAACGTTTAAATCTTCAGGATCCTCTGTCATTGGAGATAACGGACGAGAGTTGAGAACGCCTTCAATCCGAACTAAAAATGTAGAGAATTCTTTAAAATTAAATTTTTGATTCCCTATAACCTTCCTAAAATGAAGCTTGAAGCTTTTAACTCCAGCTTCCCACAGGCCTCCCATGTGCGGTGCACTAGGTGGTATGAATTTCCACTCAAAGCCGTGGACAGCATATTTTTCAGAGATATCCTTTGAGGGTTGCTCTAAAAACATTGCATATTCTGCTAAAAATGTTTTACATGCGCCTACGAAATTCGTACCGTTATCTGACATCAGTCGTTTCGGTAAACCTCGTCTTCCGACAAACATATCAAATGTAGCAAGAAAGGCCTCGGATGAAAGGTTGGAACATGGTTCTAGGTGTATAGCCCGAGTAGCAAAGCAGACAAATATGCAGTCGTAGCCTTTCATATACGGAGAGTTTCTAAGATGTCCAGCCTTGATTTGGAAAGGACCAGCAAAGTCTACACCATTAAATGTAAAGGGTAAAGAGAACGTAGTTCTCTCCGCTGGTAAGGCTGCCATAATCTGAGATAACACTCTCTGCTTATAACGAACACAAGCACTTATTTATACATTTTTTAACTGCTTTCTTCAGGGCTGGAATGTAGAACTGGTATCGAATCATACTCATCATTAATGCAATATCGGCATGCATCAAGTTTTTGTGAATAAAGTCGAGAATCATTTCCCATAGGTTTAATTTATATGGAACAATGATAGGGAATCGTTCATCATAACTCATAGATGAATTGACTAAGCGACCGTTAACTCTAAGAAATCCGTTGGAGTCTAAAAATGGGTTTAAGGTTATCAACCAGCTTTTTTTGAACTAGCTCTGGACTGGGATAAATCTTCATATTCGTCAATATAATAACTGTTTATAATACTGAATTTTTCACCAATTTCCCTTTTCGTGCGTGTGATCTGATATTTCGAAGGGGGTGATATGTCATTGTCTAATAATATTCGTACATTTGAATTGTCCTTGGCTGTCGAAGAATCAGTTGTACAATTAACCGAAATCATTTTCCTTTGTTCTGGCGGTTCAGAACACGTGGTAGGTAATGATGGCCAATATTCTTGGGAACCAAGAAGCCAAATGGGACCATGCCACCATAATGGATTGTTCAACAATTCTTGAGGCTTACATCCCCTTGTTCCGAGATCAGCAGGATTTTCGGAAGAGGATACATGTCTCCAAATTGCATTGTCAACATTTTCAATAATTTTAGCTGTTCTATTGGCTACAAAAGTTTTCCATGAAGATGGATGTTTCTGAAGCCAGCCAAGAACAATGGTGGAGTCAGTCCAAAGATGAACCGATGTGTTTGAAAACAAGTTATTAGATAATAAGTGCTTTATTAACTTGGAAAGTGGTAAAGCACCACACAATTCTGAACGTGGAAGACTGAGTTTTTGTAGCGGTGCTACTTTGCTCTTAGCCACTAGGTCACTGGTTCAAATCCGGTTCGAAGGACCATAAACAAATTCCAACCCTTAAATGGAGAAATTTGTTGTTGTTGCTGTTTTAACGAGGTTGAAACAACAAGAAACCAAAGTTATTTATTGATACAAATAAATAACTTTGGAAGATAAATGCAGGATGCACTTACTTGATTATTCCGTAAGTATAAATAAAAGACAGTAGACGTTCGGGAAACGTTATAAATCTTTATTGGTTGTATATTAGTGGCTGTCTTGTCTTCCGCTGCTTACGCTGCTGAAAATTTTTCACAAACTGTAATGGCGCTTAGGTCAGTTGACAGCACGTCGGAATGACACCTGTCAACCTACCTAAGCGTCATTCACAGTGATGTGAATAATCACAGGCGTAGCGAGCCAGAGGGGTCACACTTACAACAGGGGCACAATGTCCAAGTCGAGAAACTCATCGTCCTCTTCAGCTTCAGATGAATTGTCGCGAGCCTCAACAATAATTTAGGTTTCTTTTCGGTATATTAAAACGCACTAAAATTTAACAAAATTATGATAAAAATTAGAAAATAATGTATTTTATTTTTGTAAATTTTTTAACTTAGCACCGAGAAACATAAAGTTGAGCCTTTATAGCGACTATTTAGTTCATGTATCCAAAATTTAACTTAAATTTGCTGGCAGGTATGAAAACTGTAAAACAGAATTCCCCGCTAGTATTGTTCTGAATACGAAGATTTTCGGCTATTTACATGTGCACAACGCGATCGTAGACGAACTTGTCAACAAGAACATACAAAATTTAAAAAACTCATCTAGTTTCTTGACAGCATTCTACAAAGTAGGTTGATGTCGCTTTGTTTTACGAATTCAAACACACAACTTGCAAAAGCAAGAGCATAATGTGCAAAAACAACGTACACTCCAAAGTAAATTAATAAAGTAGCGACACGAGTTGTTGTACAACAAGCGTCTATAAAAACCACAGGCAATTTGTTTTTGTTCGAAATACTCACTTGTCAAAATTTGTTTACAAAAATGAACCAATAATTAATGGAAAATATGGCATTGTTGTACTTTCCAAAAAAATGTTGTTATTTATATTAAAAGTCACAGAGTTTTCTTTATTTTTTAAAAATTAGAACATTTTTAAAAATATTATACACTTAAAATACACTTTTTCACATTAAATACAACAAATTACTCAGAAATTTGTACAAAAGCAAGCGTTAAAATGAAAACAAATATGGCAACATAAACATTTTTGACAAGTAAGTCCACAAATAGCAAGTTTAAAAAAAATAGTCAGCTGTTCAAATGAGTCTACTTTATAAATTTACTTTGGTACACTCTAAATATTTTATTGGAATGCATAACAATAAAAGTAAATAAGATCGTACTTCTTTATTACTTTTTTGTACATTTTAGATTAAAATGTTATTTTATGTGAAGAATTTATAATTTTTATGTTTATTGATTGCATTTTATTTGTAAAAGTTTCCATTTTCATTCTTTAAAATTGGAATAGCCAAACCTTTTTTTCAGTGCAAAGTCATATTTTTACTAAAATATGAACGAAATTCGTGAAATTAAGTACTTCAAATTCGTAAATTCTTTATTGAAAAATTTCATTATTTTTCTTATTAAAATAATATACTATTTACGAAACACATTATTAAATATTCTCAACATTTCCAAATAATTATTTTACTAAAACAATAACGAAATTCATTTGTATTTGTGCTGAAATTCAAGGAAATATTTTATCTGAAACAGATAAATTATTTATTGTATTTTGGCAATAAGAATACATAAAATTTCTTATTAAATCTATACAAATTTTGTTAAAATATATACATTGAATTTTAACAAAAATAAACCCAAATAAAAATATTTATAACAAGTTAGAAGTTATAGTTAAGCGAGCTCGGCCATATGATACCCTACACCAGTTATAAAAAAAATGTGATTTAGTGTTCATAATAAAGCATTTAAGTTGAATTGTACCTTGTCTCAGATATACTTTAGCCATTTTTGTTGAATAAAATTGTGTACATTTAAGTCATATATCTTTGTATAGGGGCTTGGGTCAAATGAGGCCCTATCATCAAAAAATTCATCAGGGTCATGAGGGCTAGTATAGAACTTGGTTTGGACAGACGGACGAACATAGCTAAATCGACTCAGAAAATGATTCTAAGCCGATTAGTATACTTTATGGTGGGTATAGGACCAATATTATTGTGCGTTACAAACATCAGTACAAACCAAATATACCCTCCCCACTAAAGTCGTGTAGGGTATAAAAATCGAAAATAAATTTAAGCAAACGATTGTTAAGAAAAAAATTGTGCATTTTTTTTGTCTAGCTATGTCCGTCCGTCCGTCCGTCCATGTAAACCTTGCAATCAAACTACAGGACGAAGCCTATTGAAAATGGTTAGTTAGTTTAAAAGGAGGATGTATATACATAAAATCCGAAGAAATACACCTAGGCCTCTATCGGTCATGTTGTGCGCTCCTTAACCAGTGCCTCAGGTGGGCACTGTTTGGCTTAATAAATTGAAATTAGTATATTTTAATAATAATGCTACAAAATGGTTAGTAGTTAAACCATATTCATTGTATGTGCTACTAAAATGCATATCATTTTCATCAGTTTTCGACGTAGGATATTAAATCCCTTAGCGCCGCATTAAAATGGAGGTATATGGAAGGAATATAAGTGCATACGGAGATAGTCTTGCTAATAAATAAGAATTATTTGCATGTATGCTTATACTGCCGAACTTAATGATATTTTTGCTACTTATAGCCCAGGGAAATAAGGGTTTTGCTGCGGAATTTTAGATAGCTAATTGAAAATTGGCTTCTTAGCATAATTAGTGGTGGAAAAGAAAAAGAGCCGCCATCTTACGCCAAAGTTGCCAGAAGAAGACACCGGGACGATCTCTGCTATGCAGTTTACGACGCCGGTAATTCGACAGGCAAAATTCCAATAGACCAGCAGAGTAAGGTAGAAGATCTGGTGAACAATAAGATAGTGGATCACGCAATCGCTTCCAATAGAGAGCGTGAGCTGCGAGTTCAGCATGGACGTGATGTTGATGAGGTTGGCATCTCACCAATGAGTTAACACCCTAAGAACTTGATGGAAAGTATACCTCCTCTCTAAGATGGCGCTAAGCTGGAACTGGCCTGGGGTTCTATATTGAAGACCCAGAAACAGAAATATACCACCGTTTACCTAATCATAACACAAGCTTCCAGGCAGAAGTCCGAGCAATAACGGAATGCGTAAATTGGATTAGAATAAATATGGCGCCCACGACCCTTAATATATTCACCGACAGCCAGAAGGCAATTAGGGCGATATCAGGTGATAGAATTAAATCTAAGACTTTATTGGATTGTAAGAAAGCTTAAACTGAATACTCTCCCAGAGATAAGGTCTACATCATATGGGTACCAGGACACTCGGGAGTAGTCGGCAACGAAAGGACGAATGTAATAGCTTTAAAGGGAAGGGAGCTCGAGCACATCTATACAAAATTTGACTTGCAGATTCAGACGAATGTAGAGCATGTGGAGAGGACAGTGAAACTCTGGAGCACTTTCTTTGCCACTGCTTGGCATTCGTCGAAGTTAGATCCAAGTATCTTGGAAGTGATTTTATTCCGGAAATAACACTCCTGACTAACATTGATTGGAAGATTCGTAGGAATTACATCCAGGAAACTGAGTTTCTGAACACTGAAAAATAATTCATTCAGTGAACTTTTTTTTTTTTTTTTTTTTTATCAAGTGGCCTGTTGTCGTGTATTCAACCTAACCTAACCTAGTGAATTATTTTTTTCATTGCAATGACATTTTCAAATCTTAATATTTTGGACTCCAATATAGACAATGTCGTATTTCATCTTTCTTATACCAAGACTTCAACTAACTCTAATAACGATAACCGACCTTAAACCATAGTAGTTTTACTCTTTTGAAATTTCAAAAATTATTGCAAAATATTTAAAGATAAAGTCTGATTTTAATAAAATTTGGTGGATATATGTATTACTATAAAAATGTGGATTGTG